ACACTTTGTTGCATTTCAAACTTAGGATTTATTTGTTTGTAGCAATATATCCGATATCTGCTAAATGTTTTTCTAACACTCAGGGGAAAGAAATTACTTTATTTTTATTATGCATGCTTGCAATTGTAAATCATATGTGTTGCTTCCTTGCATTTTCCTGCTGTAGTTTTAAATGTTACAGTAGGTAAGATTTAGATAAATCTGCATTGACACAATGTAGTTATTCATGTGTATCTATGTTTACAGATGACAGGTTGGTCTACTGCGGGCGGGTTACACCTGTCTGTACGAGGACTGTTGTAGCTAATGTTAGCTTTGGTGTCTGTTCTCGCAGATCTAAACCGAAGCTCAGTGAGTTTTCCTCAAGTCTAAAAGTTACTCAGATAACACATTTTGTTTACGTTGTGTTACCATTATGTTGTGTGTTGTCAATATGTGGGCAGAAGATTGATCATTCATCATTTCAGCAACAGGAGTATATTAAAAAATAACACGTTTGGATATTAGAGGGGCCTCCACAGATGCTAAGCCCAAAGGGAACCGTTAATTTGTCCTCGAATGAACTGTGGACTGTCTTGTTGCAAATTTTCCAAAAATAGCAGTAGTTAATGCTGTGAGGGAAAAGGAAATTAGGTTACACAACAACCCTTAACATGCCAAGCTCCTCTAATCATTTCTCTTCTCTTTAATTGCTGTGAAAAAAAAGGCTCAGTCATGTCTTTATATTTGTTTTGAACGGATTAAGTTTGGATTGCTATCAATACGAACTAGTCATACTAGTGTGTCATGGCTTGTGTCGGAGAACAGTGTCCCTGTTGCGTGACAACAGATGTGCATGCATCTATGTGCAAAATGAAACCATTATTCCAGAGTGCGGATGCGGTGGACAGTGGCGATAGATTTAACTGTATAATTTATACTCCCTCTGAGCATTACTGTGAAAGTCACACCACCATTGGTTAGCAGGCCTTGTTCTCTGCTCCCCACACCATTAACTTCAAACCACTGACAATGAAAGTTTGTTATTGTTATATGTGATGCTTCGTCACACAACCCAGTTCAATTTGGAGGCAATTATTTTACTTAACACAATGAAAAATGGGGCGGCTTGTAATTAGAGCACACCCAATATGGATTTTCGAGGCCAAGCAGGGGGTAAATTAATATTGGGAATTAAAAAAATATATATACCTTGGTGTCATTAATAAAGTCTCATTATGAAAAAGTATATTAATACTAATACTGCGGTAAAAGGAAAATGGCTTTAATGTGTTTGTTTTTAGATCAGTCCAGAGTTCAACTATTTTTATCCAACCAACGTCAGACTCTGACTGGAAAATAAAGAACAAACAAACAAAAACAAAACAATACAGACACTAATCAATAAAATCTGCAAAGGTCAGTGTCAAGATAGTACAAGGCAGCGGTTCTCAATTTTTTTTTTGCTCTTTATCCCAACCAGGTTGATGTAGGCCCAATTCCCCAAAAGAAAAACCTTCAACAAGCATTCTTATAGAGGCAGCAGAGTTTAACCATGCACAAATGACCAGAACACACATTCCACACATATATGTTACCTGCATTATTTATTAATTTAAATGTCAGCTTTTAATTTTAAAATTTTACGGAAATTAAATGTTTATTTACATGTCTTTATTACGTAAAAGAATACCCGAAACCGACATCACATTGTTTACCTTGCATACTCCCTAGTAGCAGCTAACCAAATCCCAGGGGAGCTCGCACCACAGTTTTGGAATCCCTGGTGTAAGGTGTAGACAAGGTATAGGTATCTGCAGATATGTGAAGTTACCATTGATTAAAGTGCTTACATTTTGATATTAAAGAAAACCAATTTTGTATTTTTGTACTTGCTACATTGTTTTGAAAAAATCATTAGAAATAAACAATGAAATAATGACAGTGAAAAATTAAAGGTTGTTCGAAAATGCTACATGTACAGCGCCATGACTTTGTTCCTACACGGTCATAATTTCCACAGACCAACTATCCATAGGACTGGAAGCCTTGGCTTTTTATTGAGCTATTGCCTGGATATTGGATGGTAGTCTGGTGGTATTTTCTTTATCCCCAGCAGTTCTATTTCACACTGCAGGGTCAGTCTCATATAACACCAGAGAGCAGCAATGATTTTGGGTATAGAGAAATATTTGTCCTCTGTTCAGACCCAATAATTGATGTCTTATCCCCAGTCTTTAAAGTTTAATGAGATTCACAAAGCCAGGGTAGGACGGTGGGATTTGAAATGCCTGATTTTATGATTTTATCAGCTTGACTACTGGTATGTGGCTGCCATTACACCTAAATACCATTTTAAGAAATGGAGGTTGTTGAATACAAACTGGTCTCTACAGTGAAATATGCAGCTGTAACCATTAGTTTATGTTTATTAGTAGATCATAATGGATTGATTTGGCAGAATAATTCAGTATTTCTTTAAGGACTTTGGGATACAGTACATACATGTTTCTAGTCAATGGGCCTTAAATTATGTGCCTCATTCATTTCACGGATACCCAGGGCCTGAATCTATTGGGCGATGAATAATGTGTCAGACAGGGAGGACTCTCCCTCACCCCTTTCTCCCTTGTTGCATGAACCAGCAATAAATTTCCCGCCAGAGCCATATGGTGGCAAGTCATGTGCAGAATTCAGTGTGCCATGTTATTTATTTATTTCCCAGGTGTTGATTTTCTATTAGTGATTTATGTGTTATTGCGTATGATCCGCAGCTGGGGCCTATGTCATAGTGTGTACAGGGATTTTGGAAGATGGCCCAGGCTGAAACTAAGCCATGGTCTCAGCCAGAGTAATAGGCCGGTGTCTGGCGCAATCCATCAGCCTTCACACTTTTATGGTGTTGTTTTGGACCTAAGATGATCAACAGTGTTCACTTGATAAAAATGGAATTAATGCAGTTGGAGGGAAGAAAGTGACAGCAAGTGATTAGGAAGTAATTCAGCCGTGGAAAATGCATATGCTTTGTCTAAGGCTATTGTTCAAACAAAGACAGAGGAGCTCAAGCTAGTGGGTAATTATTTTATTTCTCTTTTATTTTAGGGTTGTTATTTTTTTATTTTTATGTATTTATCTGTTTGTGTGTGTTTAATTGGCATAAAGCCCCGATATCCAAAAAATTGGCACCACAATTTAATATAAACTGCATGCATATTTATCCTCTATAAATTTTATTGCATCATTAAAAGTCAACTTATATAAATTATGTATAAAATTGTTCCTCAGCATTGATGTGAGAGCAGAGAGATGGGAACCGAGATGATCAAAACATCTCTGCTCAGTTCTGCTCAGTTTCTGACTTTGCATTTTAGTCTTTTGACCAATGTGTCTTTTTGTTATAGTTGTGATTTGTCACTGGCTCATTTTTTGTGTCATTGTTGAAATAGCAGTAGACTTTAGCAACACCCGACCTATATGTGAGACTCTGAAATCTGAGCCTTAGCGGTGTAAGTTAATGAAAAGGATTTGAGGGTCTGTTGCATGTTCGTCTCCTATATTCCATCAGCTTTAGTTAATGCCATCCCATCATGGTTATTTCAGTGTACAATGGCTGCTGAAATAGTGGTGCTTATGTATGTCTTCATTCTAAAATTCTGAGGAGCGGATGAACAAATTCCTGCCTTCATAGAAGAGGAATCATCATTTAACATTGTATCCGCTCTGTTACTGCCTTCAGAGTGGAGAAGCTGTGTGGAGCTGAGGCTCTCAAAGCACTCAAGCATTTTAAAATGTAATGGAGAGAATCTCTGCTATCAGGACCCAGGTTTTCAAACAATGTCCTGGAACAAGCTGAAAAAATGGATTGCATTAGGGCATGATGAAGTAGCAGCAGTCAGATGGAGGCAGTGCTTCCATTCCTGTTATGTCCCGTGGTCACAGGTGTTTGCAGTATGTAACCAAGAAAGGGATGAAATGTGCTACTAAACAACAAAAAGGACAACTAAATCTTCAAGTTGACCAAAATGGTACCTTTATCTTTTACCAATTCATAAACAGATCTCCCAGTATGTGATAATAAAAATGGAAAAAAAAATGTCATGTCTTAACTATATATTGTTAACAAAAAATAAACCTCGAGCATTTGATCCTGTTCTATATTAAACTCTTTCCTTTTCTCCACCTTTCTCCTATTTCTGTTTCCTGAAATCCACTGAACATCAGAGTGAATGAGCTGTTCACTGACTTCTGTTACAAACAATTACAATTAAATGATTCGAAGCCTCATCAGAGTAATTCGATTCATGGGCTTTGGGGGAAAATTTGGGACCCTTTGGTTTTTTATTAGAGATGTAACGACATTAAGTCACAATTTTAGACACAACCCAATGGGAGTCGTAGCCGCCATCGAGTCAAGGACGTTGAGTGTTGGTGTTTAGATTTATATCAGATAGACAGGGATACAATTAGAAGTCAACATGCCATAAAGTGAACATGAACCCCATCATTCAGTCCAGTTCCAACCATTTGGGTTGTGTTTTGTTTTTCTAACTGTCTTTTGCTTCGATCTTATCAATGGCACATAAACATACTCATGTCTCTGAAACCCTAAAGCGACAGGCATGCTGCTGCAGTGACATCCACTCCCTCATTTTCTTCAAAGATGATTTGAGAAATGTGCCTTGTAGATTTCTCGGCTCAATAATTGGATCTACCACATTAATATTCAAATGGAAATTTAGGGGCATACCTCTGGTCACATCATCTATAGCTGTAAAACCAGTCTGGCCAAATGGGTTGATTGAAAAAAAAAAAGAAAAGTACTTTTTTTGGTACTCTTTTATGCATCCAGATCCGTGTTAGTAGATATTGTTCTTCCCTATTGCTCTACCCTTTAGTTTTAATGACTGTGCTTTTAATCCAGTTTAAAACACCCTTTTGTCCCAAGGGTGCATATAAAATCTGGATTCTCTCAGCCGTTGGCATGCATTTTAATAGTGAAATCTCACACTATTTCTCAACAGACAAAGCTATGACGGGCTGGAAAAGAAGCTAAAGGAAGTCTTCAGTGAACGAAGCAGCATCTTGCACCAGCTCTCCAAGACATCAAAAGAGTTGGACAACATAAAAGGCAACCTTCAGGTTTGGAAATTCATCATTTTCTATGAAAAATACAACAGTGTTAGAAAGCCAAGTTTGCAGAAAGCTCGGAGCCAAAGGTAATTTTCCTGCTCCTGTTCCCAGCATTCGATGACTGGGAAACTCATGACACTTATCATTTATTTTTCAATCAGTCTGCTGTAAACCAACTCACTGTCGTTAAATATTAATGTGTTAGTGTTGCGTCCAGTTCACTGAGCCCACCAGTTGTAATGCAGGCTGATGTGCCGCTGGAAAAAACAGCTGCTGGGTAAGCAGAACACAGTTTTGGACTCTAGATCAGTGCTTCTCTAGGTAAGCAATCATTTCCAGCCCTAATGTAAAAGGCAATTATGGAGCACTTTCAGAAAAGTGATGATACTTCTGTTTCAGAAATTCAAACATTACATTGAAAATGTATCTTTTAAAAATGAATACCCATCCAATAAGATTAACTACATACTAAAGTATGACAAAAGGATTGGCTTTAGCAACAATAATATAGCACATTGCTGCGACTGTTCTGAAAGTATGTTCCTGATTATCAACACTACGAAGTAAGAATTAACGTGGGAAAAAAATGAAGTGTTTTATTCTAGTTTCATTTCCAATCTCATATGGATTCAGTTCAATCCAGTACCATCGGAGTACTAGTGCACTTTTTGGTTTAGTACAACAATATCTTCTCTTATCCAAGTAAACTGCTTTGAACATCACTACTTTCATTTCTATTTTAGTCATGCCACTTTAAAAAAGCCAGTGTTGTTACAACCAAAGATCTGAAGCCATTAAATTATAGCCACGTTCCCAAAAACCTATTTTTTTCAAAGCCCTTATTGATTAACGGCTCACATTCCTCTCCACCATCTATTCTTCGCTGTGGAGTTTGGGAAATCATTTTTAATTACTTTAAAACAACAATGCAAAAATAAAAGCACCTTCCTGAGATGGAGTGATTTTGCATAAAGACTAAAAAGGGTTTTTCAGGCAACGTTAGTTGAATTATGATGATCTCTGTTGTTGGTGGATGTTGGTTCTGCTCCTGGTGTCAGACATATTCTGTTCCTTCAACTTTGATATAAAGTGGTAATTCGAGCATCTGGTGAAACAGGCATTTCATAGCCATCATTTCCCACTAATGTCTTCAGGTCAGTCTTATTAAGCTTTTAGCAGTGAACTCCACTCACTGGACCTCATGTCAGGGATCGTGGGAGGATAGACAACAATTCCATTGGCTCTGTGTGAGCGATGGTCCTGTCTTCAGTGAATTGTGATGTTTTTAGGTTTTTCTATTGTCAATAGAATACTAAGAAATTGTATATATACATTTCTTATTCATTTAGTGTGTGTGTGTGTGTGAGAGAGAGAGAGAATGGTCACCATCTTCCTTAGGGCAGGTTGTCCATGTGTATCCACCCCAGGCGAGTGAGTTGCAACAGCAGGATGCTGATGGTAGAATTACATTAAAACTGAGAATAGCGAGACGTGAGGCCAATTTTTATATCAGGTTGGAAACATTGCCTGCATAAAACATATTCAAGTGTTATGGGTCAGATTTGATGGAGAAAGCATTTTATGGTTGTAATGAGTCCAATAAAGGAAGTTTGTGTTGCTGTAAATATATTCTTTTAATTCCTCTTGAGTGAAATCCTTTGAAATCTTTCCTACAGAAATAGAAGTTTAACAACAGCAGAGTGGACACATTGAATCCTTTAAAAAACTTTAATTTTCAATATAAATCTTATATCTCTAGTGGTCATCCTACTCTATATCCATGTGTTCCAGGAAGAAGGAAAACAGACAGAAAATAAGTGAGACTCCCAAAACTTTGCAAACATGCAGTTTGTGTATCACTCACTCAGGCATTGGTCATATTTACAGTTCATTCACTCAAAACATAAAACTAAACCCTGGTCCACGTCACAGTCCGTGGGTCATTTGGTATTGGGCTGCAGCGTGCCACAGTGAAATAATTAATAATTTTCTTCATATAAAATATCTTTCTGACTCCCACACCAAAAGAACTCAGTTGGCATTTGTCTGCGTCTCCTCTGTGCCTCCTTTCCATTTCCTCCCTATTACCAACAAACCTGCAGGTGTATATTTGCAAGCAAGTTTATTAAGAAACAAACAAAATGTCAACAATAATTATTGTTTGACGACATACGCAGGCTGCCACAGAGTTAAAGGGTTCAGCGAGGAGGCATTTACAAATGTGAATGGACCAGCCCCATGTCAGTTAAGAAATGAACTATTTTTTATTGAAAATGTATTTATCTCATAGCCAAGTAGTGGAAAAAACAAATACAAATAAATAAATGATAATAAATGTTACTGGTCAGATTATCAAATAAATAGGCAAGCTGTGTCGGGTTGGCCCAAATGGCACAGAAGCCAATGTGTGATAATATGATAATAGAGAGAGAGAAAAAAAATCTCTGTCCTATAACTTTATTACATCTTATTTCAAATGAATTCACGTTGTTGACATGGTTTTTTTTATTGAAGTCCATGAAGTCTCTACTTCACACTTTACAGTAGAGTAAATGTGCACCAAGTGAAATCAGACACTGGGGAGAAAAAGAAATATCTTCAGGTGACAGGAGGAAACGGGTTTTATGCAAATGTGCTTTAACTGGCAGCGATAGCAGCTTCAAGCACAGTTTAAAGAGAAGCTAACTCTCCCTTTGACTCCACATATGGGAAATTTTGCTCGGCTCATAACAAATAAAAATATCTTGGAGGACTTGTAGCGCAATCAGAGACCTGACTGCTTCATAATTACACATCAGGAAAGTATTTAGGCACTAGCGGAGTACAATCTGTGTGCCTTCTTGTATCCTCATTAAGAGTCTTTTTTTTAAAAAAAGAAAAAAGAAATTTACCACATACTGTAAGTGCTTGAAGTTGCTTCGATTTTCTTTTTTTTAGCGTGGGCAAAATATTTCTTCACCAACTTTGGGTTTCAAGTTTTACTTTTTTGTAAGTTTAAAAAAAGCAAACACTTTTAAAACATTGCCTGGGATTTTCTCTCCCTAATCCCTTTCTGAGTTTTAAGCTGTACTTGTTGTGGAGTCTATCATGAAATATGCAAAAGTGGTGTTTTCCTCAGAAAAACAGAATGTGCTCTTTGTCTTTCAGTCACTGAAAAACGATGAGTCAGTGGCTAAGACGGATGTTCAGAAGATCCTGGATCTGAGCCACAAACAGAGGTAAACTGAAACATCAGGATGAACAAGTGCTGATAGCTGCAAATGTCATAAAATGGCTATTTATTTGTCAAAAATAAAATAAAGCTTTGAAACTCGGAGCCTCCTTATAAGACACAAAGAAGGAGCTCTGCTGTGACCATGAAACTGACTTTAATTAGACAGATCAATATATCCATTCCCTGGGTTTTGTAATTGATGCTGTTCCTAGATGTTATCCAATCAGATTACATGTGGCCTGGCGAGGCTGTTAACTAAAAAGCACCAGTGTGTTCACCACCCGACATCCTTTGGAAAATACCTTTTTGTCTGTGAGCAAACTGAATGAGTGTTTGCCCAAAGTGTGGCACCAGTTAGAATGCCTACTTAATGCTTTGTCTAATGAGAGCGTTGATGATTAGTAGTCATTTGTGGCCTCATTGCTCTCTGAAATGTAATCCTGAAGGAAGTCTAGCCTCCGTTGTACACTATCCGGACAGCCGATCAATAGCCTATCACGGTACTATGGCAGTTTTCACATGTCATCAGGTTAACATACCAATAAGCAGCACTTTGACTCACCGTCGCCAACCAGAATCGTGTGCAACAATCTCGATAAAAGTGTTATTAATCCATCGCTGCAGTTCCATGTCTGCCGAGTTTGATTACCAGCCGCCTCCATCATGGCAGATGGCGACAGGTGATTTATTGCAAGTCTTTTATTTTTGACAACTCTTAACAGTATTTTGATTGCCTCTCCTAAAGCTCTGTTTTTCTGCAAACATTTTTGTTGCATTAGAATGCAACAAAATTTTTGTTGCATTAGAATGCAACAAAAATGTTTTCAGTACAACTGCAAGACAGTTAAACTGGTAAGATAAGGGGGGGAAAAAAGAATGTATTGGAGATATACTGTGCTGTCAACTTATCCAAACCAACTTGTCATATGCTCCCTACATTGTGGCTGCGAGGTATGCCAGTCTCATATTCAGCACCCTCCTTTTTGACAGTCTAGGCAGTTATGATCTTGGCTGTACAAAATGTCCCCAACTTTTGGAAGAAGTCGATGAAAATATAAATGATGCACAGCGTTCGGTTGTTCAATCCTGTCGTTCCTGTTCACAACAGCCTTTGATGTTTCCTATCGCTCCAAGACAGATGGTGTGAGTGAATCAGGACAGCATCCCTGCCTTAAGAAGCTACATAGAGGGTGCAACATTACTCCGATAAACAGCTGCTTGCACAACTCATCTGGAGAGGCTCCTCAGCTGGGCATAGATAAAAATCAAACAGGGCCAAGTCCCAAGGCCTATCAATTTGGAGCGGATCTGAGAACAATTATAACATCTTATATTCTGAATTAGAAAAGATCCTTCTCTGAGCGGAGCTCTATTTTTTTTTTTTAAATGCTCCTGCAGAAGCGTATGGACCGCACTGTCATGTCACAGCTGACAACATGTCTGGTGATGATGGACCATATGCAGTCTCTCATCAAGTAGATGCTGGTACTATCACAATTTTTCTTTGGTAGCAACAGGCCTATATTACTACCTCTTCACACTTAATCATTTTTACCCAGAATATAATCTGGGAAAAACAAGTTCTTGTTTCAGATTATAAATTTAACAACTGTCTATATTATGAAGTTAAGTCAGTAATTTAACCACGGCATTTCAGGGAAGTGTGAACCAGTCTTCACTGTTGGTCAAAAGTCACAAGGGGAACAACATTTATTTTAGAAACCATCTGAGCAGATAATGGAACATTACAGATTAGAGCTGTGAGCCAGACGCTCCATGCAAGTTTGACTAATTGGGAGGCAATCATCAACAGAGCTGTAATCTGGGCAGACATGTGGAGACTACACAGACCTGAATAAGCCTTCTTACCCAGTTCACCCGAGACAACATCCACAGCCATCTGGGATTTCTGCATGAATGCTTTAATAGTATGGCTCAAAAACAACCCTGAAGAGATGTGGTGACACACAGAGGTCTACTCAACATCTGATTATAAACTGGCCAATATGTAAACCAGAAAAAAAAAATCATATATTTTTGACTTTTTCTAGTTTTTCAATTTCTCACTTGTCTAGATAATGCTATGGCTAGCTAACCCATTTGCCCATATCTGGTCAACAGCAGCTACCATATAAACTTGTCAAATCTGCCTGATATGGACTACCTGCTGCGCTGCGTATATTTCACAGTCTGATTCCTTTCTACAGAAGACCTTGTGTCAGACCAGTTATCACTGATGGACTTACTGCAGGCAGAAATGTCTGGCAGCCAAAAAAACTGTGCCAAAATAGTTGTGTCTGGCTGGTCACTGCAACAAAATGTTTGGCAGACTGAACTAATGCCAGGAGACAAGACTACAGTGATTTAAAATAATGCATCAAAGTTGTTTTATGGCTGTTAAGCATCAGGCACTTTCCAATATTGCCTTAAAAAAGTCTGACACTTCACTGCACCAGTGACCAGCTGAAGCCACGTGCTGTGCTTTTAGACTTTCAGCCAAGCTTGAAAAGGGGTAAACAGTCTATTATCTTCAATTTACTGCACTGCCCCAGTAACTCATTTCTTTTTCTTTTTTCAAGCGTTTCACCCACATACCTTGCCTTCTTCTATAACACAGGTTAAACTGCTGTTATTTGTTATTTTTACTTAAAAAAATAATGTTATAGACAAATTATTAAATATAATGACTCAAGAACACATTTCTGATACCACATAACATGAGTTAAACACATTTTTCAACACATCCTTGAACAATAAAAACATATATATTTTAGATGTACTACATGTTTGTTTTTTGATGTTTGAATGTTTTCATACATGTTGCCAATTACAAAAGAAGTTCATATAGTCATAGAATTTAAACATCACAATGAAAACTATTGTAACTTTCTCAGCTCTATTGTAACTTTCTCAGCTCTTTTGGTGTAGACCCAACATCATCATCATCATCATCATCACCACCATCACTTTAAATTCCTACTTGTTATTGGAAGAGAACTGTTAGTTGTTTTTCTAACTCTATCTTTGTGCAAAATTCTTGTCAACAAGTTTATGAAAGCCTTTTTTTAGTAAAGGAGACAGGGCTATACTGTGTGAAGTGGATGTTTTAACAGACTGTTTCTCACTTTGCCCCATCACTTGACAGGGAGGAGATGAAGTCCCTCCAGGCAGCCTTGCAGAAGCAGCTGGATGAGGCGAATGAAAGAGCAGAGAAGCAGCAGGCGACGGTGAGACAGAGCTGACCTGACCATCAGCGTCTGGTCTTCTCTAAGCAGTTCTGTCAACTGTCACACAGGGCCGTCACTGATCCACACTCATTACACCTCAGCAGCCACCACCTCACCTCAGTTTCATACTGTTTAATTGAAAGTCCTGATGAAATGCAAAAAGAAAATGCATATGTATGGATGATTGGATGGACCTTCTTGGCCCATTGGTAAACTAAGGAATGAGTTCAGCATCAATTTCTTTGATTTATTGTAGTAGGGTCGTCACAGTCTTATAAACCACTGGTCCCTCAGTTATATTTTCACTTTTAAATCACTGGTTCAGATATAAAAGACACGAACTTCAGTTTCATGTGAGATTTACAAAAGGAAAACAAATTTTCTTTTTCTGACTCTGAGTTTCTGAGTGATTCAGGGCATCGAAGTAGATATTAGCCTGTCAGTCTACATCTTGAGTAACTGGTCATTTGTTTTCCAGTCATAAACCCTGTTTTTGAATGAAATGATTTAATACAACATTGGTTTATTTATTGGCTCTAGCCTTTTGTGCTGCCTAATATTTGTGGCTTCATCTCGTTCAGAAAGACAGAACTCTGGTTCTGGCACCAAACTCCCTATCAGCAAATCACGATGATGTGTGTGTCTGGCTGTACTGACAGCTACCGAATAGCCCCACAATGCTCCTGGGATTTCCATTATATGCTAATGAAAGCTCATCCTGGCTGCTGTAGCGCAGTCGGGCGGGGGTTTTTTTGGTTTGGTAACTGGGCACGGTGGCATTGAAATCAACAAATCAAGTCCTCTGAGATACACAGTAGTTGGGTAACATTTAGAGTGACATTCTGCAAATTTTTCTCTGTCTAATAACAAATCTGAGTTGCTGCGTTTTATGGTTGCAGTTTGACATTTATGATCTTTTAAATTGGATTTATAACAAGCGCTGACATTTAAGATTAGAGGAACACCATTGCATCATGCAAATGCAACACACATTTACCAGAGGAGTGAGATGCCGCGGCTGCTGTCAAGTCTGGCTCTTCGTTCAGTTCTGATGGAAAACAACAACGGCTGTGAAAGGGCACCTTGTGTCTCCAGATAATAAAAATATTCATCACAGGCTCTAATGTGCAGGAATCATTAGTGCGCGCACTTACAGAAAAAGATGGGAATATATATAAACTTTCACACATATCAGGGCATAAATATTCCAATGTGACCTCCACAATAAAAATGTCTTAGGATAGGGATTTGATTTTCAGCTCTAAATCATATATCCATTCAGCAAATACAACATATATAATATGACTTTTAATATCTGTGTAGTCCTATTTCTATACACTTCCGTGTCATAGGTTAATCAGTTAAAGCAAACAAAAAATATATAATGTAAGACAAAAGCAGAATGACACTCAGACCTTACAGAATCCTGGAAAACTTTACAATAATAAACTAAGTAAATGGAGCATGCAAACCTTATATTTACAATGCAAATAGCCATTTGCATCGGTATGGGTTATATTAACCTATTAAACTGTTGTAGGGCAACATGCATGCCCAATTATAAACCCATTAAATCTCTGCCTTCTAATTATCATGTATGTCAGTTTGACTGAGTACTTAAAAACTCAAACTGGCGCATGTAAACAAAATTTATTTATTATAATACATTTCTCCATGAGGCCTCCCTGTTGGCCATTTCTGTGATTGAAACATAAACATTGATCTCATGGGGTCATATTTAGGTCAATGGGTCCTTTGGTGAGAATTAAGTTTCTGTTTACTCTCTCCTTGCTGCTAAAGATTAAGGTCTATAACCTCAAGAGACTTGCTGTCAAGGACACACCACATACAAGCTGTATCTTTTCTAAGCATCAATATCAGGTGTCATACACAAATATAAGTTATGTTTTATTTTTATCCTAGCGCATAATGTTATATGCTGGATTTTTCAGGTCTAATGCCTTTACTGACACAATGCCGCAGCCCAGCTTATCAACCATAACTCTGTACCTAGGGGATGACTATGCTAGCCTACATGATATATAAAAGCATATATGTTATGGATCAAGTAATATCAGTTGAACGGGCAGATCCTCTGCAGGGGAATTAATGAGCCAGATATTACCACTATGTAATGTGCAGCCTTCCTCCAAAAAGGCCCAATATACTTCCTGGATGTAAACTTGACAGCATAGGCTGCACTGGCTAAAATAAAGACAGCAATAGGTTTTAAAGGACCCCAATTATGACAGTTTAATTGTTGTAATAATTGGTTAGTGCATAAATGACACCATTTGTAAAATGGTAAAAATAGCAACAAAAAATTGGTTACATATATTAATGCTGTTTACATTACGTTGCAACAGTTCAAATGGAAATACATTCATAGTATAACTGTAGAGTCGTTGCCATTACTCAGCATTTAACAACCCTTAACATTTCTCAAGAAAATGCTCCTTAAGGATGTTCGGTCTCACTCTTTTCTTTTCTCTTAATACATTAAACTTTATGGTATGTTGTCAAGGGATCTGAGTCAACTGGTTCCATATAGTTTACAGTTCCCCCCGGATGCAATCGTTAAAAAATAGGAGGAAAAATGTGACTAAAGTTCACAGAAAACAGATAAAAGCAGTGACTTTTCCCTTCTCCGTTTACAGGGCATAGCAGTAACTAATGGAAATTGTTGCACCTGAGTGATATTGAAATTGCTACTGGAAGCATGTAAGCAGCTATTTTTAGAAGATTTACTACTTCAATAATTACAAATCTCAAGGCCAAGAGAACAAACTGTACCAAGAGACAGACAGCTAATTTTGTTGTTTTTACATCACAAGGCCTGGCCTTTATCACGCAGCTGAAGGACTTGTCAGACAAACAGCAGCAGGGCATCAAACAGCAGCTCCGTCTTTTGTTAATTGTCATAATTGTCTTCTTTCAATGCCTTTTAGTTTCAGATTAAATGGGCCCACGATGCATCCATAACCTCCATTAAACCCATTCACTCAACGGAAAACGTTTCCGACCGCAGCTTGGATTCTGTGTCATTGTCTTTCCTTTGTCCTTCCTGTCTACAGATTAAATTTCTCAAAGTGGAGATGGAGAAAAAAACCAAGATCATCAAGGATTTACAGCAAGAGGTGAGTCATCAAAGTATCATTAGAGGCCTCTTGAGGTGAAGCGCCACAAATGATTCAACTTCATTTTATCTCACTCTATGCTCTTATAACACACTTTTTTGGACACTGAAGATTTGGGTTTTTTTTTTCTGAATCAATTCTCTTCAGAATCGACAAAAACTAATGCAGTGACCAGGTGTTTGCCGGTATATAAATGTCCATATTTGATCTTGATTGTGATCAAAAGAAGACTGTGGCCTATAATGGCATACTTTTCTTCTTTCTCTTACAGTTTCTTCTGCTCTATTTCTCACTGTGTGACTGTTGAGACTTCAAAAAATATTTCTTTTAAGCAACCCCCCCCCCCCCCCTTGATTCTGAGTGGTCTGACATTTATCACTGACACCTTAGACAGCTTGTTAAAAGGGAAAAAAAAAGAAATGTTCTCCTGGCAAATACCATTGCTGCTTTTCTGACAATATGTGGATCTGCAATTTATACAGTGTGATTTATTTTTTTTTTTGGAGGAACTTAAAAATGAATAATCATAATAATTACACCAACAACCTCCCGACATGAGTCTATTAACATGTACCATACAGGAGCTGGCCTAATGGCTGCTATCATAAAAATGTTGTCATACAAAGATGGATATTTTTATAGTTACAGTCATTGTTTGCAAACCATAAAACAAAATTGAGACAAATAAGTGTTTAGTACATGCTTTTGTGGCTAGTTTTTTTTTTTTTTTTTCTGAACAAGAAACTCTGCCCTGGGGGAGTTTTTGATGTTTTACTCAGCTTCTGCCACTATAATGGTATGTTAATGTTAATAACAATATCTTCCAATGAATATTATTATATTGTGAAAAAGACTCATCCTCCTTTAGGAGGCCACAGTCGCAGTGAATGTCTCTTTTCTATACAATTGGAAGGCTTCTTTAATAACAGCACAATGAGAAAAGCGCTGATGAAGAGATGCTAAAATGTACCACACACCATACCACTGATGGCCGCGGTGAGAAAAACTGATTTTCAGCCAGATGTTGGAGTTAATTTGAGCCCAATTTTGACTCAGCTCCGCTCCGTTAACACCATCAAATGCTTGAAATGAGAATCCAAGCAATTAGATACAACATTTGCTGTGGATACGTTGCTAAAGCCGTAACCTACCCGAATTCATTTTGTAATGTATTTATCATGAACACGACATGACGCTGCGAAGGCTGCGAAAACACATATTGAGAAAATGTAAAGAAAATCTGTTTTTTATTTTAGTAAGTCATTGACTCTTACAGAAATTTTTTTCAAAAAATCCTTCTTGGAGGTAGATTTGAACAGCTTGAAGAATGTGAATGTGAGTACTAACTAGACAATTGCACATGAGCCACATATAGAAACCACTGCTGTGTGCGTATGGCTGCGTCAGGGCAGCAGGGATTTGACGAGTTACCGAGTAGTTTGATGACATCATCACATTAACAGGGGAGGAACCACACACACACAAACGTCCTTATCAGTTGTTCTATCAGCTTCTTGTACGCCCTACAGTACTGTGTCAACAACTGCATTGTTACTATGATCTACATAACCACAGGAGCTCGAGAAACTTTAACCTGACAATATTTGCAGCAGCATACATTACCTTACCTGATACTGCATCAAATTGTTCACAGTTCACCTTTTCCAAACATCCTCATTTGCATGTGTGAGGGCATGTAAACGACCACAGAAAATGGTAATGGTTTCCTGAGGAAGTACTTGTAACCGCTTCATGGCTTTCCCTCCGTCAACAAATGCTGCATGTCTGTCAGTGCTACATGATCAATTTTATTTTTCCTGCTTCATCAATCAGACAATTTCCACAGCACATGTTTGCATTACTGATTGCTTGAACTGACTAAATGACCCATAGAGAAGGCCGTAATTTGAATTGGTAATGAACAGTCAGGGATTAGGGATTTGATCATCATGACATTTTCATTTCAAGGTGGGACGTGTACCATCATCTTGACAAAGAGGCATGAGAATCACCTGTGCTTTCAAACGGCCCACAAGTCAGAATTGTTGTCTCACAAATGAACTGCTAACTTTGTGACCTGGATTTGTGATAAATGTATTCATCCATCCATCCATCCATTAATGGATGGATGGATGGATGTATTATCACTGACATGGAATTGCTCTTAGATTTTAAACAAAGCTCTGCACTTTTGTTCGTGATCATTTCTGGCATTTTAAAGTATTAAAGTCTGCCTTTTTCTTTTTGACATTGCTATTGGCACGGGCTGCGCTGAATGTGATCATCCTTATTAACATATACAGAGGGGCTTTAGTGGTTAAATAATTCTGGGGGTCCCTCTGGTGTCGGTGCCACGCTGACATTTAAGACGTGGATGTTGAAGATATCAAGGGAAAACATTTCACCTAGTGGAGGCAATTTTCTATGTACAGAAGGTCAACATGCTAAAGCATTATCATTTTAGCACCTCAGAGGGCGCTCTCTGTTGTACATTTTAATATTGCAGTCTGGAAAAATTGTCACATGTAACTGGGTGTTATCTGGTGGTAGTAGATGTCAAAAAGTCTTTGTTGAAGACAGTTATTGTCTATTTATTCATTAACTTTCTCAAGAAAAATAGTGTGCTTCCACCAGCAAACAGAAAACAGTAAAAATGAACATCACAGCAGTTTCTCTGTGTGAACTGTATTGTGAGCATGAATTATGTCCCCTGTCTAATCCAGTTCAAAATGCAGTGCACTCCCTGCAACCCACTGAAACAAAACGCTGTTTTCTCCTTACAGAAATTGAATATTCAGATGAAGTAACATGACCATATGCGCTGCTCAAATCGATCAACATTAAAATTACCCCACAGTTTTAGATCACTGTGCTTCTGACCCAGTAGAATCAAGTCGCCCGCTATGTATTTACCACGTTACCCATCTGACCAACTACAAATTGCAAGTATTGCATATAACAATATAAAATATATCATGTTTTAGTTTTTAGTTTTTTTTTTGGTATTATAGTCAGAGTTTTCTAGTGAAAAATCAAACCATTTCCATCTGTTATCTCTAGTTAGAAAAATGCTTCCTTGCGTTGGACATCAGTGTGTTTTGAACCACGGCTTTGCCTTGTGTTGCAGTATCAGCGGGGAAGCTTTCTGACTGCACTTTACTTTAAAGTCATTATCAGTCATTTGCTTTCTTACTGAATGGCAAGGATCCTGCTGGGATTCATCAGACATAAAGTCAACTCTCTACTCTGGCTTTTTTTTTTTCTCTATTTGCTTCTATTTAGATGAATCTGAATGGCTTTCTGTTATTTCCTGCTGCCTTTTACGTCAGTCTGATGAAATGTTTGGAAATGACAGTAAAGAGATTAAAGTTGCATCAAGGTGTTAGTAGTTTATTTCTTTTCAAACACAGGAAGACAATGGATCTTTGAGAACTTAACTTGACATTAACTGTGTTCAGTGAATGACAATAGACAAAATCACAGGTTTAAATGAAACTGCATTTATTTTACGTGCACCACTATAGGCCTGTAAGTTCATTTGAGAGAAGAGCTAAAGCAAAGGTATTGCTAATGAAGTCAAGCTAGTTTATTGTCATTTAATGTTATTTAAACAAAAGTAAACCGCAGGAGAAAGTATTAAAATATATATTCAACAACAGAATGTTCTCTGTTGCTGAGAGTCAGAAATGAGATGGTCTAATGTTCTTGTCTTTTAAAACAATTCCCTCTTCAGCAGCACACTTGGTTTACCACCTTAATAAAGCTCAGCCACTGCACCACTGAGGGGAGCAGTCACTTCATTAACACCACAGGCCGCAGAGACACTATGGCAACATATTCACATGTGATGACTGACATCAGGTGGAGGGGTTAGGTGGGCGCCTGTGACGCGAGTGGACACGAATAATGCATGCAGTATCTTTTTTTTTCTTTGGAGTAACTGGCAGGTTGTGTAGTCTGATCGATTACTGTCACACTTCAGAGACAGCAGGCCATGACTTGTTACGCAACAGCGATTGTGGTCTTGACATGGAGGGAAAGTGACAGCATTTATTGTAAATTAAGAAGGTCTAGGTAGACGCCAGTGACAGATTACAGTGACGTGAAATGGTATATGTCAGTGTAAAATTACCTTCATGCTATTTGTATTTTACTGACAGTGTAATACAAGCATTACTCATACACGGCATGTGGTACATTGTAGTACATTGATAGAATGGAATCCATAGTCTGCTGCTGTCATTGGCCAAACTGTTCAACCCCTTAGAGTTGTTTTGCAGACGGTTGATGATTTTGGAAATTTTCACAAAATGTTGAATGCAGTGTTTTTAACCAATAATAAATGAGGATAGTGTAAAATGATATGTCCATATGTTTACATTTTCAATGTTAAAATGTAAAATGCTAATCATATTTTTACATGAAAAAGAAAAGTAGTCTTTAGTTTTTAGTCATTAGTCTAATGTTAGTCGTTATTTTAAAATTAAAATAGTGTAATCGTAGCATGTGCTCCAAATCTAATTATATTTTAGAACAGGACAGACGTGTGTGTGTGTTTGCTATAAACAAAGAACAAATCTAAACAAGGTATTCCTACTTATTTCAGGTACTGCATGTTTGTAGCTGATGATGATTTTGGTTTTTTTCTTTTTGTTTGTTTTTTTGAAACAGTGAATACAAGCATGCACTTTAAAGGAATGCCATTGAAATTTTACAATTTAGACCATGTTGATTGTCTTCCCTGGAGACAGTGGTAGAAACTGGAGGTTTTATTGTCTAATGAATGTGATAGAAAATTCATATTTTCCAAAGGCTGAGCATAGAGTACAATAGAGAGCTGGTAGGTTTACAGTCATCAGATTTATCTACTGCTTACAATTAGAGACACAGGCTTATTCAGAAGCAAAAATCTGTAAATGCACATGATTTGTTGCTCATTTATATCAGCCAGGCAGCAGCTCTTCCATGAAAAGCAATGTTAATAATGGCCAGGCTGTGTT